CATATGAAGAACTCTCGTCATGCGCATGCTAACACCGAAGTGACTTTCACATGGCAATAGACAACCAACCCGTGCGTTGAGAACTTCAGAAAGTAAAACAATATCGGAGTTCGCCATAAAGACATCTGTGAACAGAAGTCAAAAAAGTGACCCCATGGCAACTCCATCAATTGGACGATAAATCTCCTCATTGAAGGTAAAGTGCACATTTAAGGTGCACCTGGGTAACACTCTGGAAAAATTTCCGGGAGATTTATGGGTATGTTCTGTTGTTGTACTAGTTCACCAACATACTCCAGTGTGTTCAATAACAGAATATTCGTAAACAATGATTGCGCGTCAAATGACGACATCCACTGGTTGGTAAGGTTCACTTCTTTTCTCTTCTCTATGAACTCGAGTGCAGTAAGTGCGGATTGTTCTCCGAATTGGTCCCAACATCATAATCATCCAGTAAGCTATCAAATGTTGGGGGTAAATGTCCACACTCAAGATCGGACGCAATGGAGTGCCTCCTTAGTGAATTTTAGGGAGAAGTTACTACCGTAGTAAGGGTCCGCCTGAAGGCCACAGGTTTTGGAATTCATAATTTGTCATAACATTTGCTTGCATCATGTGTCTGAGCAAACCCATCAATTGCTTTCCTAACTCCTCTGTATTATCCGTCCTTGCTGTTAGATGTTGCACGGTCTCCCTAGAGTTCACAAAGAAGGTGCTCCATTATATCCGATGGCGGACATGGTGGATTCTCCCCAACATTTGATACCTCAATGGATGATTATGATGTTGGAAGCGTTCGGAAAACAAACCGCACTTACCGCGTAAAGGATAGCTTGAGTTCATTGGGAAGATAAAGGAAGTGAACCTTACCAAGAAGTGGATGTTGTCAGTTGACACGCAATCATTGTTTACGAAGATTCCGTCATTGGAGACGATGAAGTAGGTTTGTGGACTAGTACGACAACAGAAGATACCAATAAATCTCGCGGAAAATTTTCCGAAAAAAGTGTACCTAGGTGCATTTTAAATGTGCAGTTTAAGTTCCATGGAGAGATATATCGTCAAATATTGGATTTGAAAACTCTACCCAAGAGCTGATCAAATTCACAATAAGTTGTCTTTAATCGAGTCACAGATACAGTCGATTGGAGCGCATGAGGATATCACAAGTTGTGTCCTCTTAGTGACACCTGCTACTCCTGAATGAGCTTCGAAGCCGAATTGCACACAGTCAGCTTTTAAACGGGAACCTATCCAGTAGGGCGGCTTCGGCATTGCTAGATAGCGCTACACAAAGGCCAGTAAAGCCTGCTGCGTTTGCTTCTGTGTCACCAGATAGACGTACGTAAAATTTGGCACCGTGGTCGGTAGATGTCAACACAATCACAGTAGCGGAATGTTGCAAACATCGAAGGTGAGGGACTCCAAGGTATGCGTAAGACCAGCTTGTTGTCTGATATGCATGAGTGCATGTACGCTGAAGCATGCCAGAGAGAACGGAGCTGGAGGCCGAAGCAGGCTCATTGGTTGAGCATTGTGGGTATGGATAAAACCATCGGCAGTAGAATCATGGAAACAGGAATTAACTAGTAATGTGAAACAGTAACTATTAGCAAATGAATGACTGTCCGAAGGCAGCGGGATGAATTCACCAATTGGGAGCCGGTGACTGGTTGCTCAGTTTATACACCTTTTGTTCGGTGAGTTATCAAACGGAGGCGCGATTCTCCCCATATCATCAACAGAAGCGAAGCAACAAGCAATAACCTTGGGGAGTCGCACTCACCAGGTTGCAGCGTTGTTAAACAGAAATTTGTGGCGTCTTATTGAGAAAAGGCTTGTCAGGAGAAAATCCAGTACATATTGGAACATTGTTGCCGAAAAAACCGCTGGAATGGGATAATCCCGAACTATTCAGCTGGAACTAGGAATAGTTAGTAAGGCAGACTGCCCGTTCGGCATTCCTAAGGTTTGGGCCAATGCGCAACGCGAGGCGTTGAACCAGAAAGAATAGCCACATCAATGGGCTTCCAACGATCAAAACGCAAACCGCATACTTGCGCGTGGTCCCAAATAAGGCAGGTAACCTAGACTGATTCGCATTTGTTTACGCAATCTCACGAACGGTAGCTGACGGCGATGTGGTCAGTCTACCTCCATAGCTGGCCAGGTGATCAGGGTCAATAGTTGGTGCACTGGGCTTTTGTAAACGGGTATTAGTGAGGCAATAACAGTGGTTTTTAAAGTGCGAGCGAAGGATGCCCATGATGCGATATGAAACAGCACCCCAAGGCTGTAGGAAGCAATCTTGATTTAAGAGCAAGGCAACAGAAAAGACTGTGAGGCGCATTCCGAATCTAACCCCCTGATCCTGGCGGTGAGAGTCTCGTGCGAAACGGTCTGGAGTCGCTGACTTGAAAACAGATGGGGTTGCCGATGATAGGGAGAAGGAAGAAACGTAGAATAAAGTAACTGGATAGTGAAGCGATAGAGCACGGATTGGTAAGCTCGGCAGGATGAAGTGTTGCAAAAATGCATAAACAGTGAGTAGAAAGAAGTAGTTCGCGACCGCCATCAGTAGTTCATATGCAACCATCTCCTTGCCATGCTGTGCAGATGCAGTGCTATATGTGGGATAAGCTAATCATTGTGTAGGCTAGTGAAAGGCACAGAGAGGCTATCGCCCCGTTGCCTGATCTTAACACGATAGTCAACCGTACGCGAAGTGTGGTGTTGGTAAGATGCAAGCGCATTGATCTCGAAAGTCGGTTCGAATAGCGAGAAGTGCAACATTATAATTCCGTAGCGCTTCTTACAGTTGATTATGGTTACGTAGCGGAGAAGCATCAGCACAATTTATGGTACTGCAGTTGATGCTTTAGGGAGCTAATCAACATCGAGGTCATCGCGAGACAAATTATTTTGACCCAAATACTCACTCTTCAAGAGTGCTCCGATTTCTTTGTGGTTCCCGTGGACAGCTACTGATGATTAGTGCCTTCTGACAGATGCAAAGAGCTAATCGGTTATAAAGACTTGTAAAAGAAACTTGAAAATCCCAATATAAGTCAATAAGAACAACGAGACCCTTTGGTGAGCAAATGCTTTCAATGATTCATCCTCAGACCTGTACAATCATATCTAAGGCTAAAAATAGTATAATCGACCCAGTTAGTAAAAGTTAGATAGGCGGAAAATCGAAAGGGATTAATTACGTGTTACGGAGTTGGACATCATACCGTTGACCTCCGTATCCTCCGTTTTCGCTGGCCAGGTGAGCTGAAGAGCTTGGACTAGTCTTTTTGAGAGTATAAGGACGGTTGAAATAATCGAATGCAAATTGCTTCGGCCGTCGAAAGTGTACGAAGGCGTTCACCTTTCGATCGGTGCAGTGGAACCCTTTATACTACACTAAAAGCACACTTTAGATCCAACTGATGTCCACTGTCGACGATATAAGCCACAATGGAGCTGCTGATGGCCCCAGTGCCACCTTGGTGCAATCAATGTGTGCAGCGTTCATTCACGCGTTTGCACAAGTGCTGCGCCATTCGATCGATATATGTTGCGTCATAGGCGCACTCGAACTGATAAATAACCGTTGAGGCGGTCAGCATGGGCAACCTATGTTTCGTGAACGGACGAGTGGTTCCGTCGAAAACACGCACTTTAGTGTAGCTGCCGGGAAGATCGACTTAAATACGTCCGAAAGAGTTCGAGTTAGACGCTCAGTAACCGCAACCCCTTTGAAAGGCAGTTGTATGAATAGCTCTTCTATGTCGTTGTTAACACTCGCACCTGTTTAGGCTTTTCCTCAAGATTTCTTAAAATAAATCTGTCGGGGTTTTTATTTTCACGTTACATATTCTGTATGAACGTCAATTCCGTATCTAGGGTGTCTTCCGAGCATATTCCACGTGCTCTCGAAGTAAGACAGTGAATCAAGTTGCGCTTATACCTCAGAGGGACGAGGCTGTGGAAATTCGTATACTGGCCAGTCCACGTTGTCTTTCTTTAGATCTGCCGCTGGGTGGAGCTGTCTGGTCTCCTAGTTAACATAAGATCAAAATATGGCAGCTGATTTTCGGCATAGGCTCGGTTAAGAATTGCATCTAGGTTAACGAGCTCATCCATCGCAACGAATATACCGTCCAAGTAGCGATGGTAACGGCTAAAAGTGACCAGCTCAGCCTGCATTTCGGCTCTCTCCAACTATGTCATGAAGATACCCGCAAGCAGTGGATCCAAGGGAGATCCCATGAACATGCCATCTTTCTACCGGTAGTATTTGAGAATAAATAGGATTCAAGGTGCAGCGCAACAGTAGTCCTATATATGATTGTAACGGTTTGAGGATGAATCATTGAAAATAATTACTCATCAAACGGTCTTTCTGTTCTCATTAACCTGTAAAAGTACTTAAGAAATACACAGACGGATGGCGGCTAACATCCGACATTGAAAAGTTATAATTCCATTTGGGTCAGGTGAACAGACAGAATGAGACAAAGGAATGATGTGAATACTAGAACGAGAAACACAGTGTGCATTGCATATGGTTGGGTTACAGAAACGCAATACACGAATATATGTTAATAAATCCACTTCAGACTTGTTCGTGAGCGAGCTCAGTAGGAGGATGGGGATTGAGGCCAAGCATGGTCATCAATTAGCATACAAACTCGCGATACGACAACTGAGGTAAAACCACAATAGTAAAGGTGGTTGGAAGGAATATGAGATGGGTCAAGAAGACCAGGGGCAGGTAAGCACACAACTGTAAAGAACTGCATTGACCACCGCGAGCTCTGAATTCATGGATCGATGGTGGCTAGGTAGATCGCTTTTCCAAGTGCGAAAACGGAAATTTGTGTTAAGCGTAAGGTCATGGAGTTATAGATATTCTAAACTCAAGTGATATGTAGAAGGAGGTAAAGATGTCATGAACAGACTAAAGTAGTATGAAACGGTAAATGCGTATGTACAAGTTAAGAACGTACTTTATGGCCGGGACATTGTGGAAGCCATCCAAATCTGCGGTATTAGTATCATGGCGATCCGAAGAATCGACACCACCTAGTGGACACACAGGTGCGTGTGTCCGACCACCATCGGACTCCAGTACGGGGGTGGCATGCGACGTAACTGAGGGGAGCATGGAATCAAATGAAGCCAGGCGCGCCAAACGAGCATCATTTGTACAGTTATCGAGGCCTACGGTTTCGAAATTTAAAGGAGACATGTTGTCTGTATGGAAGGCGGAAATATTGGGGCCGCTCTTCCGGGGTTCCCCGATAAGATCCATGTCTTTCTGAAAAGGTCAGATATGAGATAAACTATGAGAAAGGCTACAAAAGGCACAACAAGAATAACATTGAAAGCAGATAACATGGTCACGTGTTAAGAACTACAAAGTGCGCGGGTCCGGTTAATCTAACTCAATATCAATCGGACCTGTCAAACCGCATTGGTTTGATAGGGAATATAGACAGTTAGCGCGACGACGTCGCAAACTTTGGGATAGATACATCAGCTCGGGTTGTGATGAAGATTACTCGATGTACAAGAAACAGCGTAACTTATGTAACGCCGCAAAGATCAAGAAACGCTGACAGTTCGAAGAGGAACTAGCATCCTCGGCCACAACTACACCCAAAAGAATATTTGCCTACTTGAAACGTCAACTGAAACCTGGAGACGACCTACCGGTCTTAGAGGGCTTAGACGGGAAGACACTCATTTCAAGCGCAGGGCGCGCGGACGCCTTGGCTAGGCACTTCCTCACTGTATTTTCCAGTAAACCGGCGGCGGTTTCAGTACCGGCACAGGTTGCGCAAGTCTTGCTCGACAGCCTACAATGTGATGCAGTCGAAGTACATCAGCTACTCGTCAACCTCGATGGTGCAAAGCCCCCCGGACAAGACGGACTTCACACATTAATACTCAAGTCCCTATCGATTATCATCTCACCAGCTGTGACAAACCTTTTCAATAAATCGCTCTCTGAAGGATCCGTCCCGAACGACTGGAAATGCTCGATAGTGAGACCGCTTCCCAAGGGTGGTGATCCGAGTAAAATAGAGAACTATAGACCGATCTGTTTGACTTCAGTATTATCCAAAGTTCTCGAGAAGGTTGTGAAAAAGTGTCTGTTGTCGTTCTTCGAATCGATGGACGTATTGAAGCCAACGCAACACGGCTTTACGAAAAGGCGATCTTGCATCACCAACTTGATGTACGCAAACCATCAGTGGGTTCGAGCTCTCAATGAACAGAAGGATGTTGACGTGGTCTACATCGACTTTAGTAAGGCGTTTGACAGAGTGGACCACGTAAACTGAGGACATACGGAATCGGTGGCACGTTACTTCAGTGGTTACACGAGTTTATTGTGGGACGAAAGTTTAGAGTACAGGTCAATGACTATCTGACAGACTGGTTCCCATCGACCAGTGGCGTGCCTCAAGGAACTGTACTTGGGCCAGTATTATTTCTTATTCATATCAACGATCTTCCGCAGCAGCTCCAGTCACCATGTGCCCTGTTTGCAGATGATTTGAAAATCTGGAGGATCATTGAGAACCAGGAAGACTGCGCTCGCCTCCAGCATGACTTAGAGCGACTGTCAATGTGGTCCACTGAAATGCAACTCCCTCTTAACGCAAGCAAGTCGGAGTTCACCAGTATCACCAGACGCCCAGCCACTCGATCATACACCTTGGACGGCCAGTTGCTCCATCCCAACACATCTGTCAGAGACTTAGGAGTTCTCTCACGACATGATATGAGATCACTAGAAAATACAGAGAAATTGTACCGTGCGGGACTTCGTATGCTCTGGGCATTAAGACGCAGTTTCTCCACATGGTACGAAGAAACCGTCACTCGTCTATTCACCTCGCTTATTAGACCAATCCTTGAATACGGTGCCCCAGCTTACCACCCGATAACCCAATGGGAAACAGAAAAGCTGGAGAAAATACAGCATATCGCAACTAGAATGATACCTAGTCTACAAAAGCTTCCGTATGAAAAATGTGAAAAGCTCGGACTCTACACACTATCCTATCGCCGAGTAAGAATTGACCTTATTATGACCCATCGAGTACTACACTTAAACCATTTCCCCATACTATGGCCAATATTTCACCTGCGAGAACCCTGTAACACCCGAGGACACCGTTACAAACTCAGGGTCCCCAGCATGAACAAAGTATCACATCAGATTTGTATCGAACGAAGAATCATAAACTTATGGAATACACTACCTGAGGGATTAATAGTGACCGAGTCTGTGAAGTGTTTTAAAACCCGTATCGACGATTATTTTGGAAACCTGTGCTTTTGTGAAACGATGCACATACAGTGCCAAAAGAAGACATTGTATGCCCGGAAATAATGACACTGGTACAAATTTCTAAACGAACAAGGATAAACGATTAACGGACCAGACACAACTGCTGATGATTCACAACTAAATGTTTTTGATTTTTCGTAATTCGATAGAGTTGTACAGAAACCTTTCTACTTGCTCTTAAATACAGTCTCAGTCTCATATACCAATAACAATAATGGTAATAACAATCAGGAACAAAAGATGGGGAAATGATAAAATGCAACTAAAAAGTGAGTTCACAGTCACAGTCATCGAACATAAGAGATCCAGCACAAAGGCGCCACAGGCTCCCTATTGTGTCATGCCCAATAAAACTGCGAAACATCAATATGGTCGATCTCAAGGATCCAGATAGAACGATGAACGACAGCATCACTTGGCCTTTTAGTTAACTGTTCCTGTTGCTGCGGTATGTCGTTGGCTAGCTCCTTCAGTGTCTTATCAAAGTACGCGCAGCCTTGTTAAGTAGTAGAAAGTAATCGATCAAGTGAGATCCGAAATTTTGCACATGGATGATAATCCCAGACCGAACATTCCGGGACAGAGAGTTAAAATAAACAGCGTTCGTTCTTTGCATCTCTTGAATTAGTGAGGTGTGAAAAACAGGCGTGACACGATAAACACCCGGCTCAAAACAGCTGATGAAGTGGAGGACAATTTTTGTAGTCGGAACTAACGACCCACAAAGACGGTAGTCAGTGAAACCACGTGACAGAACGCAGATAACTTACAAAGGGTCGAGTCTCCTTTCCTGTCAGTGGGCCATTCGCCATTTTCCGTGAGAAACGGGGGTGACGAGTTTTAGGAAAGCCTTTGCCGAATGCCTTCTCCTGAAGTGGGAATGAAAATGATGATGGGGGAAAATAATTAGATATGACAAGTGAAGCATAGGCATCACAGAATAATAAAAGCAATGAGACTGAGCAGTCAGAAAATACGAAAAGAAAATTAACGGTGAGCCCTAGTAAGCGCAGCGACCAATGTTTTAGTTAGCAGCAGATAAATAACAAGAACAGCAGCAGTACGGAAATACAGTATAGCATACTGGTCACCAGTAAGTATTAAGTACGTTATCTAAAGGTAGTAAACACTTCGGCTATTGTTCTGCGACACATGAGAAAAGTAGGATACACGTCACAGCATACTGCTACGCCTCTACCATATCGTTATGAGAAGTTATGTTGGTGGAATGTTATATCTTACCATGGATTGATTTCATCAGAAAGGTAATAATAAAATAAAAATCCCCCGAGCCGGCTCGTGACCTAAAGAATCACAAGCTCGTTTTGCGATCCGAGGGCGCGGGTTTGAACCAGCGCGCGACTGTTGGTGGATGCGCGGCGGTGAAGCGTCGGTATTGCGTATCGTCGTACCACAGATACTAATAATCATTTCCCGAACTAGAGAGGGCGTGCCCAGAAGTTTTACAGAGGCTTTTACGCTGATAAAGTAGTACGGGTGTCACATTAGATGATGAGAGTAAATTGTCAGGAGCAACTGAGGTGAGGGCAACTAATCTCCACCATGTTCGAAGACTGAGGCCAGGGCGTTCGCTCTCTGGTGTCCAGATGACATACAAATGAAGAAACGACATAAAAAGGAACAGTGCAAAAGCTGCACAATTCATTGGCCCCGAATCAGTCACATAAATACGCTGAGAACACAGAAAAACGAGATGTGTTCATCAGAGTAACAAAGCCATAAGATGAACAGACCACATCTGTGACAAATAGACACTCACTGATTCACTTGGTTTTGCTGCTGAAGAGAAGTGGACTCGGGATAAACCTGAGGAGCCAGGATCATAGTCACCAGAGTGCATGGAGAATGACGCTCGAGGAGAGGGTGAAAAGCGTGGGATTGGAGATTTCTGCCTTGGAGGACGACTGTGTGTGCCCATAGGACTGATCGGACTTGACGGGTTGAGAACACCATCGTTTGTTGACGATATAACGCTAGTTGGTGGGTGAGTGCCATTATCTGAGCAAACATCAGCACCAGACGTAAGATTAGGAAAAACAGAGGTTGCCGGTTCGTAGGCGTAGTTGGCTTCCGCATGAATGGTGTTTACATCGGTCAATGAAGCATCACCTGCAGGGATTGGACCATTTATACTGGCCAAATCTGATGGAGATAAAGTGGGATCTGAAAGATCAATTCGTAAAAGGCAACAATGATCTGGAGTAAAAGTGAAAGGCAACCGGTGCTAGTAGTAGTCAGCATTGAGAAATAAGCGGATGCGAAAAAAAACAAAAATCCGGAAACCACAAATTCTTCAACCCAGTAGGTAGATATAACGGAACACACAGCCAAAGCTGCAATATTCCAAGAGGTTGCAAAGTTGAAGCCTACATGAACTAGCCGATGATCATAAGCTGACAGGGCACACTGAAAGAAAAATGTGATTCACTGTCCCTTCAGTTGCAAGTGCGCTAATGCACGCGTGGCTTATTTGAAAACTGCAAAGGAACTAAGTGCTGTGGTGCGACTGCGTATCCCGTTTGGCTCGTGGTGGTCTCTGTTAAAAACCAGAAGTAATACCAAGCTTAAGTTTGCGCGCTCCGGTGATATATTGGATCATAAGTTGACAAACAAGCGCATGTGTTTTATGTCAAGTAGTTCGTGAACAGCAGCTCTACCTGACACACGAGCAAACGAAAACGTGCAAGTGCTTGCGTCTCTCTTCTCATTCAATAAAGTCCAGAGCTGCGCACACCTGCTGTTGCTTAATGATCGAGGTTTCACAACTGCGTAAATTACAGTGCACCTGCCAGATCAGTAGCCAAAGAATGGGGTCATGCTGGTTAACACCTAAGCGACGAGAGAACGCAGTAAACGCCAGACCAGTTGAGGTCCAAAGAGGAGGCAGAAGTAGGTAAAATACCGCGGAACTCCGGTCGTAGTACGGTTGGACGTATAGAGGTGGGGGACGGCGATAATAAAATACGGGATTGAGAAGAACAAATAATGTGCCAACCACGGAAGCATCAACCAGTTGGTCTATGTGGCAAAGTTAATTCCTCAAGTGCAGGTCGACCTTCATGTTGCCCACTCAATGAAAAGGTGGCGAGAAACAATGCGCCCGTCATAGAATAAGCGAATAAGTGTTTAAAGCGACTTAAATTCAGGAAGAATGCAGCAAGCGAAACCAGTCACTGCGTGTCATGATAGTTCACTGCACAGTTAAATGTAATGAATCAAGGAACGCAGTGGTCGATAACCGACGAATTCACACATTCAAGTGGCCATATCCGGTTGATGGAACATTCGTTTGGTAGCATGCCAGCGAGGATGCAATATCGTGATGGACCTCACAATCCTTGTCTTTGTTTGGGATCAGATTCGCAGCTGCTACCCGTTTTAAAGGTAACTAGTGAATGAAAAGAAACAGGGCTCGGTTGAACGCGCGGGACAGGCTGTGGGTTACAGCACATCTGTAATCGCGGAGTAATAAAACCAGCATGTGAAGTAGCCACCAGCAGGTTGCCAGTTGTAGATCAATATGCGTTGCTTGCACAATGGGAGGGTGGGTTACGATACAAGAGGACAGAACTCATTTCGGCGGCGTTTATCAACACAGGAAATAAAACGATTGATGCCCAGATTAGGTGCCATTCACCAATCTCCTCCCGTGATTATTACAGTATCTCAAAGCAAAATTCGTAGTCGACTTCAGTGGCGCATTTGTATTTGTCATCTAACCAGACTTTATACTTAAAGTGCATACGATGCCGATCTATCTGTGCGGTAAGTTAATCACTGCACACACCAGTGAAAGTTCCAATGGAGTCGTTATATCAATGCGGTCTTTCCTTGGCCCCTTGATTGTGTAATCAGGTGTAGGTGCACTGCTACTAAAAGTGTTTAGATTTTGTATTATGTCCCTTTTTCCTCTTCTTGTGTCTCATTAGTGGGGTTATCGTGATACGATGGAAACGAAGTATCGGGACAAACAACTAAGGAGCAGTTGTTGAGGAAGATGGCGAGGAAGTGAGGATATCGGGTTTATATGTTTGCTATACAGCTGACACTGATGCAGCCCTCCCTTTGATGGGTGTCACGTGGATCGGTGTGAACGCCAGTAGAAGGGTTGTGGTCGACAAGTGATTAACATTAATGATCCGACGAGCGTCGAAGCCAAAATGAACCTGGCAGAAACGTGGTGCACAATGGACTGAAGTCCACAGGATATAAAGATATCTTGTCGATTGTCGCTGTTAATTAGGTCCAATCAAGCATATATAGCTGTCCACTAGAGTACATAGAGGAAAAGTAATCCCCCATGGTTGCTGAGGAGGACACGGGCAACGCCGGAAGCCGTAGCTATGGATCTGGAGATTCCGTTATTGAAACATGAGCGTGGAAAGTGAAGATGCAGTGGGAGAACACATATCAACGAATAAAGTTACACTGCCATCCCAGGAACAACTTGGCACAGTGTGTGGACGACGAAAGGTTGAATATTAAGCGGGAGGGTAGCACGGGTTGACGATTCAGTTGTGCACCGAGCTTGGCAGTTTGATTGCAATCACTACACCACCATGCGCACTGCATCTCACTGCACTGACGATGCCACCTCGTATGGTGGTGAAGCATTCGTAACCAAACTACGAGGCACGGAGAACAAATGAACAACCGAGTTGTGCTGAGTCTTTCTTCACAGGTGTCGGAAGAAGTAATGATGTCTTGCTGGTTAGAATGAAGGGGTGGGAGTTGGAAAAAGAGAAAAGTGGTAGTTAGCAACGGAGTGATGTAAGAAGATGGTATTCTTTAGCTACCCGCTCAAGCCTATGATCGAACAGCTAGACGCACACTAGTAGCATGATTCTAACCATTTAGCTGACTAGTATCGGCAGTATCGAAAGCACCTTGTTAAGTGTTATATGGCGTGATTAGATAGATTACGTAGGTACGCAGATCACACGATCAGAGCCCAGAGGGATGAGACAAGCAGTACCGGAAAAACATTTTCCTAGAAAACGGAAATAAGGCAAACAAGGTAGCGAGCTCGGAAGATGATTCGCCTCCAACACCAGTACATTCTGAGCAATGAATGGTCTAAGTAGAGCAATCATGGTAGCTTCAATGAGAGCACGAATCTCGCACGCCGTGTGCGACCCACTTGTCACGCGTAGTGGTGATGTGGCTACAGTCGGCAATAGCACGCGTTAGGCGTGTTCAGTACATCGGAACAACTATGATGCGGGCACCGAAGGGCGCCGGATCCAGTTAGCAAGACTCACGTCAGCAGGACAACAGCAGAAAAAAATGTGGTTGAAAGCGAATATAAATAAAATGGAACCACGACAGAAGTGTGCAGTATTAATCGGGATGGAAGATTAACGACTAAATGCAAGAAACCGGGTGCAACTACGCTACTGACTGCGTGACTACGCCATGCCTAATAGAGTCGCTAACTAATGGTGTGGACCATTCCAGACTGCCGGCTACGAATATGATACACACCATCCTGATCGAATCTCCCGGCCAATTTCTTCATGTATTCATGCCAAGTCACGGACTAGACACCTCGCAGTTTCGTCCAACTTGGTGCGGCCACAGCGTATAATGCACGCCGAGGAAGTTGCGCCATGGGCATACGGAGCTAGCCAACGTAGGCGGTTAAGACTCAGTAAACACACAAGTGAGGAGCCAGAAGGTTTCTTGCCAAAAACCAACTGGCGGACCTATGCATTGCTCATCCGGTGTTCCCACCAGATGTGAGCAATACTCCACAAACACCGGTAATCAAACATGGCCAAGCGTTTAATGTCTTCATTGGGAAGTGGCCATATGTCAGGTCAGTACAGTAATACCGGCCTCATCATTGCGTTATACATCCTACCTACCCCTGATAGGTTAATATCCCATAATCTCCACAGATGGCTGAGCCTCTGGAAATCATTTCAGAAAACTTGGTAGACAACCGGTTAATGTACATTAACCGGTTGTCTACCAAGTTTTCTGAAATGATGACTTCCCGATCGGTTCCAAATATGTTCCAGGATATTGAGCCTCTGGAAAGCCACATTGGCCTTGATAGTAAGCGAAATAACCTCCTCTGTGATGTGACCAACAGAGCTGACACAGCTACCAGGGTACTTGAACCCATCCACCACTTCCTTTGGCTGTCCGGTGATAACCGGAACCGGTGGTGTGCCAGACCAGTCCTACAACCGTATTTTACACGTTGAAGATGCCAAGCAGATGTTGAAGCGTGCAGCGCTATGCGCCAGTCTACTCAGTATTGCACGCATAGTCACTGCATTAAATCCCAAGAAAATTATGTTATCCGAATACTCAAAGACTGTCAATTGGCCACCTAACAGAACCTCCGCGCTGGAAGAATCTGAAAAATAGAGTGATGTGTGATCATTTCGATCGCAAAGTTGAGGAGGAAAGGAAAGAGAGAGCAACGCCGGCGAACCTCACTTGTCGTGGAGAACTTGCGGGACAGCTTCCCGTGGACTTTTACATGGTCCTGGGAGTCACGGTAGAGACTTCAGAATGGAAAGGAATTTAGCTGGTACGACCTTTAAGTATAAGCAGTGCCACCAGCTAGCACGATTAATCGAGTCGAAGACGGCTTTAAAGCCAAGGAAAATTACCATAGTTGATCGTCTGTAAGTGTGCCTCTGCTACAACATTTGACGGAGTAAATATGTAGTCGATGCAACTAAATGTGTCGAAAGCAAAGCGGGAAATCGTTTAAACGAAAAAGTGGTTATTAGACGGAGTATCAATCGACTCAGAGCTGACAGCTGAAAAAAGGCGATCAAGTGACAGCGATGCCAGAGTAGTCAGTGAAAAAGAAGCAAATGGCATCGCAATGATGAGAAACGGTAGTAGATTAGCAACAGTCTAACGAATAGACATAGAGGCGAAATAGTGAGAAACAAGATAAGAATGAACCAACGTCGTTGGCATACATGGTCAATGCCTGGTGAGAATTACGGGAATAATAGAAATATACGGTTCCAAAATGCCTCGTGATAGATGAAGCAGTCAATGTTTATAACACATGTCAACTTGAAATGAACATTATTTTTGAGCGTTTAGCCATTATGCATCAAGGAGAATAATGAGTATTCGATAAATAAGATTAGAAACACCAGATTAATGTTCACGCAATCAGGCAAAGCGGCGCTCGTACCCATCTCAGCCTGTGAAGTCAGCTGATCCTGCGGAAGGAGGTAACAGGTGAGAAACTCCTCATGCGTGAGTTCGTCCACGTCACGTTGAAGAGTGACAACAGGTTGTGATTGGTTTTGTGATAGCCATAATGCGGTCAGTGGACAGTTAGCCAAGCTCATAGGGAGTCGTTCCAACCTGTAAGAAGATGAACACAGTCGAACTGTCACGTTTACAGATGATGAGGATGATGATGATTGATGATGGAACAAGTATGAGCTGCTCATTGGGTGCACGATAATCTCAAATGGTAGTGAGGGAAAAAGGTTGGGAAGAGCGGGCAAAAACAAACTAATGCATCCGCACGAAATAAGAAAACCAAATAAGCTTAGTGGAAACGGCGTGTCATAAATTGTGCTAGGGGTAAAGAAACAATTTGCGAAAAATAGAAGGTAACTAGAATAGGATTAAAAGCGATCGAAATAGTCGAGTTGGTATGGGATAGATAATGCAATAAAAGTTCAATCACATCCGCTCAGTTTAGAGTAATGTAGTGCGATTCATCCAGCAATGATTATTCGCTCCTCCGAAAGAGAAGAACGAAGTGAAAATGACCGGCTGGTAAACTGAAGTTAAAACTAAAAGAAAGTGGAAGGAGTTCAACTTGCCTTTCCATGCAAAAGTCAACAATAAGGTGCAAGAGGCCGTATGTAACAATGCTAGCAAACACGTGAATGGACCATATTGAATAGAGTAGCTAAGCGAAGATGTCACAGAGCATCAGGAAACCATCCAGCATAACAACCTGCTATGGTCTGAGTAAGCCCCCACCCCTTGGACCGGATTCTGCATGCTATTCCGTGCAGTGACGTGTCATAAAACGATACGCGAGAGCGCGGTGGCTAATCGGCATCCGAAAGACGTAAGTAAGACAACGCAGACGATTCAGGTGTCAAGAATATTGTAATGCTGCATCACGGGCCCGTTGCTGAACATTAACTAGCTTGCGTTGGTAACGCTCACATTCGCCATTCCTGTCTGATAAGGACAGGTTCCAAGCATTGGAGAGCAAAGAACACGAATTTCTTGAAGTCTGTAGCGCGCAACGACAGCGTCAAAATAGTAATAATGGATGAACTGCAGCGTGGTACAAATGACCGAAGTTAATATCGCACGCATCCGTCGATGACTGGGAATGTGAGAAGCCAGATGGAGAACACCGATAGGCCCAGTAACTTCTTCAGCGATTTGATCACAAATGATGATACAACCGTGCAGACGATCGAAACCACCAGACAGTTTTAATTACTGTTCAGTAACAGAAAGAGCAAGCGTTGTGTCAGCCCATGCAAGCAATAGTAAATTGCAGATCAAAGTGCAACGTACATGTTGAAGCATGCAGTGCTCCGTCGGGGTTGGTGTTTACATTGCTGCTGAGCCTAAATAAGAAAGGGCTATGTCGCTCAAATACGCTAAGTTTCGTGGTCGGCGACCTTGCGAAATTTCTACTCCACGAGGAGCAGCTAATGTGGCCATCTATGATAATCTTGAATGCGAGGCTGCATGGAAACGGGGTATGGAGCCGCAATTCACACCGCCCATCGAAGTGCATGCAGGAGAGAAAAGACAGCAGCCTATGATCCAGTCCCGAGGAAAGGAAATGTGAAAGAAAAGGAATATCTAAGGCGGGTGCTTCAAGCAGGATAGCGGTGCAAGTAAACGCGATTAAATGAGTCGGAAACGACTGTTTAATCAAGAGCGATCAATGTGATGATGCACTAGCAGTTGACTGAGTGTGCATGTAGTTAGCACACCAGAACGGAAGACAGCTTAGCTTCGCCGATTTAGTTAGCTCAAGAACCGAGTGACCGCAATTTGGAGGCTTTCGAGCCACAGTCGGAAAGCATGAGACTGGGATACTGAAAAGTAACATCTGGAGAGGCTGACTTTTAACGCTTACCGATGTTTGGAGCCGAACGACACATATGCTCCTACGTACTGAAGTCTATATCAATCGATAGCCTGCAACTAATTTGTTTGAGTGAATTCCGGCAGCGAAAATGCCTCGAGATATTAGCAGTCCCAGATAAATCGTCAATGATAGTCAAAATCTTGCTCTATCTGAGACTATATATCAGTTTCGGGAACCCAAAATACTTCCACGAGTAACGCTCAGAGTTACCGGTTGATAGAATTAATGAAGTGCGAAAATCGAAGACAGCAATGTGAACCGAGATTCTTGGTTTTATTCAGGGTAGATTGTAAGTCATGGCCGGTCTACTATTAGTAAGCCCGAGAACAAAAGAGTTGAAATATAATGAAAAGAGAAGGAATATCAGCCATGGAGTTTGTTGACCGAGGACAATCTATACTCGACCATTCCGAGGGAAGGACCAAGTTCGGAATTTGTCACTTTTAGACAATGGTTCGCAGGGAATATGACCATCAAATCCTAATGTGATCTGCTGCAGGCTAAACCATCGCGACGAGTCTGGACCTGACCGTTGAGCGATGGACTGTGTGCCTCAGTGATTCATTGAGATATGCTGGGTGGTGCTTTTCGCACCTTCAGAGTCAGTCATACCAGATTCGGCAATGGTTAGAGGTCAGACAAATCCAGTCTCCTGGCCCTCCAGATTGTAGCCCAGTGTCAGAACCCCGCTGCTTGCGATAAGGTTTTTGAACCAAAGGTTTAGAACCTTAATCGTTCTCCTGTTTAGTCCTTGGCAACCTGACAGTATCCTGTCCCCACAATACAAATCTATGGACTTCCCTTGAGACAATTTACTAATGCTCTGGCCGTCGCAGAGGATATTCAACGGTGCCCTATCTGCTGCATCGAACATGATGGAGAGGGGTTTGGATGTTACTGCTCAAGCCCTCCTATCTTCTTATTCCCTCTTGCGCTTTTTCACACTTATCCTCCCGCCCCAACTTCACTTTTATCCCCACTATTTTAAAGCCCCCAATTCTTGGCCCTCCCCCACCTTGCTTCAATAGTCGCTTGTCTTCTAGTTTCAACTCATACACAATCGCAGGGCGTCGCTTCAATCCAGTCGACAAGTCCACGTTAAACCAAGCGGACAACGTCAGTTGATCCGTTTCCCTTTGGAGTCCTCGAGTCTCGCTAAGACTGGCATGCCTCAACGTGCGCACCTTACTACAGATTGGCCAACAGGCAGCATTTGCCCGCACACTACAGAAGTTATCCATCGATACTTGTTGCTTATCAAAAACACGCCTGCAGGATTCGAGCTTCGTGCTTACCCTGCGATCCTCCACAACCAACGCTGGCGGCACATTCTCATTGCGCCTGTCTGGAGATGACGCAGTTTCAAATACCCATCATGCTGGCGTAGACAATATTTTGAGTCGCCGGGCTGAAGCTGCCCTGATTGACTGAATCCCATTCAACAGACGGATGTGCCCGTCAGACTGGCTGGCTCGTTCAGAGCCTCGAAGTCGCTTGGGGACAAACCGTGCCTGTTTGTTATTGCGGTCTACGCCCCTACAAACTGTAGCACTGAGACGGTGAAAGATGATTTCTACCACCAACTTAACGATCTGCTTCGTCCCAAAAAGAGTACGGATATTGTGAGGCAAGCTGGCGATCTAAACGCCCAAGTCGGAAAATTGTCCTTTTCATCGGGACGGACAACAAGGTGTAGGTTCCTGTAATGATAACGGTGAGCGGTTGCTACACCTGTGTGAAGATGTTCGTCACTTTCTCACGAACGCTAACTTTCAACACAGCACCCGCAGAAGAGTGACTTGGCGCCCACCAGACCCAGACCAGACATGTACGTAAATCGATCACATGGCGATAAGTTATCGCTGGAGGTTGAGTACAAAACTGTCGCTCGATTTGGAGCACCTGCGTGGACTATGATCACGTTCTTGCATGTGCCGACCTTCGGGTGCATTTCGGCGGACGTCCGCAATGTCGGTATGACCACACAAACACCACCCAACCGGCGAAGCCAGGTGTTCTGTATGCGCATCAAAGTACATTGACATCCGGGCGGAGTAAGCGCTCACTGAAGTATACTTGAAGTCTACTTGTTGCATATTCGTCAAATGTAACTATCAACAGGCATGTCTTCATGTGGTAAATCAAATTGCCCACTTGGACATTAGGTCTCCACACAGTCTCTGGAACTTGCGGATGCTCGCTGACGTATTCCGGCTGGAAGCGAATACGATGAGACTCGCATAAATCTCAAGGCAAAACTGCGCGCTAGTCTGAAGAGAGACCGCGAAGCCCGGTAGCCCGATCGTGCCTCAGAGATGGGGACAGCCGCTGCCATTGGTAATTATCGTAGGTTATTCCGTTTCATACGGAAAACAGGCAGCAGGAGACTTGGTGTTAGCGAGACAATAGGCGACGAGGGTGGACCGTCGATCCACGGCTTATTAAGGCACTTGGAGCGTTGGACGGAACAGTTTGTAAGGCAGTTTAACCAATCTGACTTAGCACTTTTGTATTGGGGCACTGAGTGCCCTTCTAAATGGGGCGTCTCCTTGGATCCGCCCTCACGCACAGAAATCGAAAGTGAAGGCAAACTTTTGACATTGCACTAGGCCACGGGGGCAGATGGAATTGCTCCACCCCTATTCAATTTCGAGGGACCTGCCCTTGTAGATGATGTACTCGAAATACTAGTGAAACTTTGGGAGCAGGAAACTGTCCCGACAGATTAGAGCCGCTCCGTTATAGTCCCGATTTTCAAGCAATGCTCCCGTTCGGAATGCGGCAATCATAGAGAGGTCAGTCAGATCTCAACTGCCTCTAAATTTTCGTAGAAAGTAGAAGTCACGATTAAACTGCACACACAATAATCTGCCTCGACGGGGAATCGAACTCCGGTCCCACGAATTACCTCTAAATTGCCTGCATCTGTTGTTCTGCACAGACTAACTGGCACTTGTGAAAGTCAGATTCGTGAAGAGCAAGCCGGGTTTCGTTGAGATCGAGGCTGCATCGACCACGTTTTTACTTTGCGTCAATTGTTGGAGCACCGTCATGTTTAATGGCGACCTATCGTGATCGTGTTTAACGACATAAAAGGAGCCTTTGATTCGGTGGATCGATGTGTCCTTTGGAACTGTCCGTTGAGGAAAGGTGTGCCCGATAAATACGTAAACATTATCAGAGCGATGTACGCGCATAGTTCAAGCAGAGTGAGGGTTTATGGCAAACTGCCGCCGCCCTTCAGTATCTCCAGCGGTGTGAAACCAGGTTGCTCACTGTCACCTTTCCACTTCAACTTCGCCATCGATGAAGTCATGGATGCAGCGGTTCATCGGACACAACCTACAAGGTGTGCAACTGCTTCTTGATAAGCGACTTCTTGATTTGGAGTATGCGTATGACATTGCCTTTATATATGACAGCTCCCAAACGCGCCAAACAACGGTGAAGCGATTAACACTGGCTGTCAATCATTTTAGGCTATGGTTTGCTCCATGGAAATGCAACGTAATACTCCAAGATTGACAGGAACCCACTCTTGCGCTGACTATTGGTGGTGATCAGTTAGAAGTCGTCCAGGAATTCAAGTACAAAGGCAGGTATATTAGCGCACGTGGGATCGAAGATGAGGTTACGAACCGCATAGCAAAAGTTTTAGGTGTTTTTGCCAATCTCGGCCACCAATAGCACAGAGGATACATCACTGTAGCCGTGAAAGACTGAGTTTATAATGCAGCCGTCCGTTCAACTCTCTTACACAGTTGTGAAACCTGGGCCATCAGGTCGACAGACACAAAGAGGCTAGTCCCATTCGATCATCGCTGCCTTCGCAACTTAGTTTATGTCTGGTGGGAGCACCGCGTGAGCAATGAGCGTGTTCGGTGTCGTGTATTTGGTGCAGGAAGAGCGAGTGAAACGCTCAGCACCATTATATCACGCACTAGGTTTGGATGGATGGGCCACATGTAGTGCATGCCAGCACACCGACTCCTGCAGCGCGCCGTGGGTGCGGTTGGAAGAGGGGTAGGGGAGGCCAAGCGATGACTTGGTCGAGAGAAATGAAAACCCTCACTTCGAAATTGGCGTCGGTTAATGCATCCCGACTGCCTGGTTGGGGTCCCAAGGACGATTAGCACGTTTAGTTGGACACACTTGCTGAGATGGTGAGGAGACGACCCCAGTGACGTTGGTGCTGTGAGTTTCTTTGTCCATTCCCCTCCGCTTTAGATTCCCCACCAATTAGCAGCTCACGCGGAATGCATATAAAAAGTATTTGTTTGTTGAGTACTTTGTAGTGTATATTTTTAGGACATTATCTTTTTTGTATTCCGGCACACTACCTGAGGTGTGTTGATCACCCACAGCTAACGTATACTAATGATGGTCCGCCTGCAGCCTAGAGGTATTGAGCTTGTCTAATAACCTTGCGAGGAGGGTTCGAATCCGCGTAGGGGGGAGATTCCTCGCGAAATACTCAGCCCGCGTGCGACTGGTGTTGGACGCACGGCAGCGAAGCGCCGTTACGGCGTACAACTGACACATTATTATCATTATTATTGTACTATTATTATGACTGCAGGTTAGATATACTTACCCTCGGAAGATTAAAAAACTGTAGACGTTTTTGTCCGAAGAGACGATACACTTCAGACAACGATCGATAACAAGTGAGTGTAAATTTTTGAGCACGGGTGGTCTACCTCGAGAAAGTCGGCAACAAATTAACGACCGTAAGTTAGTGTTTTCCTAAAATCAGGAGCAGCAAGTAGGGATCATGACCTAGGCCAACGGAACTGAGCTCACAATCATCAGGTTTGAGTTTTAAGGATATTGACATACACACAATTTGCTACGAGAGTGCTGAAACCGAGTCAGTTTAACTTCTAACCATTGTGTCCGGAGTGCTGGGGACGTATGAAAAGCGGCAACTAGGGTGCATCGCGGCTACAGCCCCCAAAGGACGAAATAGTTCAAGCAATAACGAAACCCCAGACAGCAAGAGACAAAGAAAGCTGAACGAAATCCCGGAACGGAGATGAAAGGGAGAAAGAGAACGACGATCACCTGTTTTCCGAAATGTCCAGTACACGGAGACGACAGCAGTTGCCGATCTCGGCCGGCAGGTATCGAAGAAGATTCTCCCGTAGTGATAATATATTGAGAGATGTGCATCCACCAATCTGGTAAATGATGAAGGTAACCGTGTTTATTTATAGGCATTGTAAAAATGAAATATACAGTTGAAAGTGAATTCGGAAGGAAAGGTATGTGTGGCAGGTTTTCACTGTAACACAAAGCCGGCCTGAGTTGTCGCCGTATCACTATACATTATTAGATTTATTTTATTTCATCTTGTCGTTTTAGGTGATTGGCTGTTGCTTGATATCCCCGGTGTGGCTGCGCTTGATGTGCATGTTGACAAGATGCCTACCTGTCTATTACCCACTAACTCGTCCATACTGGCTCCAGGAGACAGTTGGCCGTTGCTGGAGAGGACGGGGTGCACGGGGCTTGTGGTCATGCTAGGCTCGAAGAGTGGTTCCATGCACTCAGTGTGGAATGGACTGCGGTCCAGCCACCGCCATGTTTTGGCTTGATTTCCCAAATACAGCGTGCTTGTGTTTGCCTGTGAAGAAGTGTGGGCCGGCTCCGCTGATGAAACGTGCCTCCCGTCCACATGCCTCCCGGTTTTATTTCTTCGGGTTTACACTGGATATGGGGTGTGTGGTTGGAGCTGTGGGTGGTGCAGCGCAAGCTAACCATGGTCTCTCGGTAGGCGCAGGCGTCCTGTGGCTGGTCACAGCGACAGAAAAATCCGAAACCGGACGCCACCAACCATATATGCCTAGACAAGCAGTGTATCCAACCAAACGAGTTCATCGTCCTTCGAACACCAGCCGGGCAGTCAGGAGACACAAACCACCGGTGAGGGACTTTAGCTGTTGACCTAGCCATCTGTTGACCCCTCCTATTTCTACCATCCGCATCACGGTCGCGCAGACAACGCACGACTCGTGAGTCGGTGTGCTGGCATGTACAACACTTGGCACAGCCATCGCAGCCTGGTGCGTGATATAACGGTGCTGAGCGGTTCGCTCTCTCTTCCTGACCAAATACACGACGCAAAACACGTTCAATGCTCACGCGCTTTTCCTATCAGACATGAGCTAAGCTGGCGGTTAAACTGATCGCTGAACTCCGCAATTTTGTTCCAAACGTTTCATCGCCAATCGAAACGACACCATCAGTGCGCTGTCAGTAGTAGCGAATCGCAGAGGCTCCCCTACGCTACACTATGGAACAAAATTGTTAAGCTCAGCGGACAGTTCAATCGCCGCCTGAACAACGTGAGCTACCAGTTTGCGCTCATATCAGCTAAGCTAAAAAGGTAGCGAGGATGGAACATAACTAGCCTCTTTATGTCTGTCCAATTGATGGGCCAGGTTACGCATTCATACAGGATGGTTGAACGGACGGCTGGATTGTAAACTCTGCCCCTCAGGGCGAGAGTGATGTCGCGTCAGCGCCACAAGTGGCGTACAGTGGCAAAAGCGCCTGCTTTCATTGTCAGCAAACAAGTAGACGCTTGCACCAGTTTTTTCTCTAATGACCCTTTCCAAGAACCACGTGATGACCTGGCAAAAATATCACTGTTGTTTCTACACGCACCAGAAATTAAGGCACTGCATCTTAGCACAATACTAACCGTATTTGTCAAGATAATTTGTTGACACACAGAAAACCAACAGTATGAGGAGCAATCGTTTGCTTGAGTGCTACGGGTACACATTCTTCACTAGACACTTTATTGTTTTCAAACATTCATTACATATATTTCTGCATTCGCAGCGATAGTGCAAAATGCTGAAAATGTACATAACCGGGTGCACAAAGCCTATTATGACTTGACTTATTTAATTAGTCTACTTTGCTTGTGACAGATGACGCTGTAGTTTAGGTAGATAAAACTGTTTTGCAGTGAGAATACAAATGACCAGTAGTGAGTGAGAGCATAGGCCGAGAAAACGAAAGGTACCTGATAGTTAGCCACTGCTTACTGATGCCTGGAAGCTGAATTACACGCATGCACTTACTCATGGGAACTCTGACACCGTAAAAACCCGCAATATGTAGACTTGGGATCAGGTGAGACACCACAAGTGTGCAAGCCCAATCATTGAAACCCGAGAACAACAAGCGCAGATGAATCAGTACAATGTTGAAAAATACATGAGCTACGAAGTGAGAGTATGTGACGGAAGTAGTGTATCGGATGAGGAAGGCATACAAGCGAGACCTACGACGCCGATCAGATGTTAACTGAACAGCCTCGGCTAATGGCCTTCATTCCTCTTGACCAAGCTATCGCTTGGCCACCTCTCCTCTTCTTCCATCCACACCCCCAGCGCACAAACAACGCATGTCGCGGGAGTCGGTGGGCTGGCATGCGAAACATGTGGCCCAGCCATGGGAGTCTGGTACGTGAGATACCGGTGCTGAGCAGTTCATTTCCTTTTCCTGTGCCGTAAACAAGACATCGAACATGCTCGTTGTTCACACGGTTTCCCACCAGATGTGAGCTAAATTGCGTACGCACCAGTGCTCGAATGTAAATAGCCTCCTTATATCTGCTGATCTATGGGGCCAGGTTTGACAACCGTACAGTAGGGTCGAACGTACGGCTACACAGTACAGTCTACCCTTCAGGTAGATGTCGCGCCGGCGCCACAGATGAGGAAGGATAGCAAAAGTGCGTCGTGCTTCTGCTACGTGGTTTGTGACCTCGTCATCAATCCCAACGGCGCTGATACAACTACCTAGGTAGTTGAACTTTTGAACGACTTCTAGCTGGTCCGCACCAAATGTCCACGCAGGAAGCAGTTCCTGCCAATATTGGAGGAAAGCTTTGCAGTTTGAGGGTGCGAAGCATAGCCCGAAACGGGTGACAGCTTACAAGTACAACTTACAATTCGTAGATCGTAGAAGGCAGAAGTCACGATTAAACTCCACACGAAAATCTGCCTCGACGGGGAATCGAACCCCGGTCCACGAATTTCCGGTCCGTTGCTCTACCACTGAGCTACCGAGGGCTGACGATTAGGTGCGGAATTTAACACGTGACTTCTGCTTAGTGCGCGATGTATTGCCAATGAGCTCACAGTAACTGTCCTGGTGTTGCAGATCGGCTCACTCACTCGTCACTTCCCAGTGGACCGAAGTAACTGTCCATCCGAAGTCCAAAGGGCGATGGTAGATTTTTTTGAAGGGTGTTTGTGAGCAACGTAAGTTTCGTAGAAGGCAGAACATCGGATGGACAGTTACTTCGGTCCACTGGGAAGTGACGAGTGAGTGAGCCGATCTGCAACACCAGGACAGTTACTGTGAGCTCATTGGCAATACGTCGCGCACTAAGCAGAAGTCACGTGTTAAATTCCGCACCTAATCGTCAGCCCTCGGTAGCTCAGTGGTAGAGCAACGGACCGGAAATTCGTGGACCGGGGTTCGATTCCCCGTCGAGGCAGATTTTCGTGTGGAGTTTAATCGTGACTTCTGCCTTCTACGATACTTACGTTCCTCACAAACACCCTTCAAAAAAAATTCGTAGATCGCTACCTCCGTTGCCTACGTTATGAGGGAAGAGAGTCGTATATCTCTGTCCAAGTCATACATAAGTGTGACGAGGATGAGTCTGTATGACCCACAACCACCGCCTTGTCGGGTAGAAGTTGGGAAGGCGCCGCTGAGCGTAGCTCAATGGATCACTAAGGTGCACAAAAACGGGAAAACATGCTATGGTTCAGTCTCATCGTGATGGGGTTAAGTATTAATTAAACGAACCATTAGATCTAAAAATTTTGCAGCCAACAAGGAAAACGTTGCAAAGCGATGGCACCACGGCTGTCACTCAGTACGTAATGAAAAAATAATAGGGAAATGGAAGACGTAAATTTGTGTTCCTCCATCGACACAACATTGGACAGCGCCCGCGCAATAATGTCATTCATTACCGCGCGATGTCAACGCAGTTCGGCTACAGGACGTCCTTTCTAGATCTGAGGCGCTCACGAAATCTGTAATCCGGGAAATGGGCGTTAATGAACTTCATGAATTCCGACACCGAGTTCGCCTTGGCTATTAGCTCGGGTAAACTGTACCAATATTGCACCACTCGAAGCACAGCAGGTAAGCTATCCGCTTCAGGTCCGGTACCGTATGCTTGTACTGGTACTCGCGAGTGCTGCTTGGTGCGCGCACTCCAAACGTGTTACTTCAGCATAGGGGAGTTATCTAGATGTAATATCCGGTGCGTCATTGTGAAGTCCGCTTGAAACGAACGATAAAACAGTGTACACAGCCCCAGTCACTCATGTCGGCATTCGTACGACATACTCCATAAACTGGAGACATACCTCGTAAAAGACGACGAAAGATTAACAAAGAGAAAAATGCCATCTTTAATCATAAATATATGCTGAAGGGTTATGTACGCACAGGACGGAATACATTCATCACAGTAAGTTGCAATATGTTAGCAACAAGCGTCAATTCGAAAAACGCTTACTTCGGTGGGAAGCTCGGTAAGCTGATTCTGATCTACATTCAGCAAAAACATCGATTTCAGATCACCCAGAGTGGGAGGAAGAGACTTGAAGAGTAGAGAAAGGAGCGATGAAGTGAACGATCAGTTATGGAGTTCTAGTTTGCACGCACAGTATGCAACATGTAATCATAAGGTGCATCAGTAGTAAGCACTCGAAGAGCAGTTGAGTAATGTGAATAATCATCTCTCGTTAGTCAGAGACGCAAGAAACCTGGTCCTTTGATGCCAGGTGATTATCCGGTGGTTAATAACCATGTGGAGTTGGAGTCAAGATGGCAAATGTGTGCATGGACACATTTAGGTGCAACTCTAGGCCCCCTTAACCGTGCTTCGTCGCCAAAATTGTAGTGATAACGAGATAATATGGGTAGAGGGAATATTTTGCATATATTGATGAATGATAGGGTTGGGAGTTGAATCGGAACCTAAGGGAGTGCTTTACGGTGTCATTAAATTGGGGTCTTAAAGGAAAATGAAAGTACCAATATGCTGGTGATGAGTGTTAAGCATTCATGTGGAAATAAGATTTGATTGTGTGTCACAGTCTGTGTAGCAATTTGAAGGGAACTAAGTCGGATATCCAACTGCAAAAGGTAAGGGGCAGAGATATATGTGTATTCAGTTAACGGGCTCAAATGAAAAAGTAATTCCGAAGACAATCTAGCTATATATGACTGAGATGGTTCAACACCTGATTCATCATTGCGAGATCACTATGTAACAATAAGTGGCGAAAATGTATGCTACGAGTAACAGGGAATACATTTTATTTATAGTCACATGCTATAACTGTACCTGAAGATGGAACTAAGCTACTTCGATTGATGTCCGATTTAGTGGGCAAAATCGAAGTGTTTCGGAAGTAAAATAGGGACCAAATCTGGACCATAAGAAGAGTGCCATACTATGCTACTGCCTACCAAAAGCAAACTGAACGCAAGGTAAATAGAATTAGCAAACTGTGAAGAACCTCGGTCAGCTGAAGAAGGCAAAAGTGAGGTTGGGTGCACTGAGGATGTCATAGTAACTCCAGAGTAACGTATAGATACGTGTGAAATTCGATCCCTAACAGTGTAAAGAACGAGTCGTTAGAGAGGAGATTTGAATGCCGAATTTTTGACGAATGTGACAAAGCTGGATCAGGATAAAATCAGTTGTAGTCTTTTGCATGTTACTAGCATCAAACCACTGTGTAACGATACGCAAGCGACGAGTAAATTAAATCTCTGATATTTAGGGAATGAAGGTAGTGGAGTGGTTTTCACCGCTTCCTACTCCATGGAATGGAGCTGACTTGCCTAGAAGAAAAAAGGGTAGTTTGATTCGCACCAATGGTATATCCACTACTAAATGACCCGGATGGTTGGTTAGGGCCTGTGGGGAGCGCCGCTGAGACACACCAAAAAGGATCGAGCCATGAGGAAAAGGTTGAATATCGCAAAGATATAGCCTCGAAGAAAAGTAATTGGGTGCAGATTATTCGGGGAAACTTTGCTTTTCTAAGCCTCACTATAAGTATGCTGAAGTCCCATATTTTCCTATTTCGCGTGCTAGTAGAAAGTCCGCCGTTAGGTGGCTGTGTGGAGAGAAGCCTAGTTCTCACGCTTCACTAGTGACTACCATCTAACAACCGATGAGAACGGAAACATGTATTTGTAAATGAAATGACTTGCGCCTCGCAGCATCCTAAGGTGGCAGTGAACATGGTCAAACGCATATACAGTGAGGCATAAGCAATGATTGACCTGCTAAGAAACGAAAATGACAAACACCACAAAAAAACAAAGCGGATTGACCACATCCCAGGATCGAAGTCAATAATCTCTGAAGAACAGAAAGAAAGATTAAAAAATAGACAGCCGCATAAATTCACCACGCCGTGGTCATTTTAACATTTATGACACTGTACAGCATCAATCTTAAAACAGAAATGAGACAGGATGTTGCTAGTAGTATCAAGTGAGCTGATTACGAAGATGTAAATGTCAGTTTTTCATTTTAGTCAAGCAGTGTGTTCCATGTATCGAACGCTCGTCTGTGATTGGTCCATTCGCTACGTGTAACCATATAAAAGTAGTGATCGTGGCCATGGAATTCACCCAATGCTCAGTCGATTGAGGGCAGTGGTTCCCTAATTGATATATTGACCAGGGTCCAAAGACACTGCTGTGTCAATGACCGAAATCATTTTCGTTACGTCTGTGAACAGTTTATGAAAAAACTGCAGTGCAGACCCATTTTTTCACTGCTGAATTCTGCCTACCACAGATATTTCGGGATGAAACTGGGAGATCAGCATAAGAAGTGAGCGCCGAATATTGGTTGTGTGTCGTGCAGTCTTCATCTGACCCAGTGGCTCAACGTCAAAGGCAAGATGCTCCTTGCAATCGCCATAGTGTGGAGGGGGCCGATGGATCATACGACAAACTGATACTTCTGCCTAACCAGTGTCATTGGAATCTCCAACGAAACAAGAAGAAAATTCATTACCCCGCTCTTCCATCAGCTATTCGACCTGTTCCTCATGATTGCACCGTAGCTATTTCAATGCTTCCAGTGAAGATATCGCTGATGATTCCGCATCGTCAACTTCCCTTGATTCTGACATCTGTGAAAACTTTGAAGCTAATATTGTCAACCCACATCTTATTGAACAATCAGAGCTGAATGACTTGGTACGTGACTTGGGCTTTTCTAAAGACAAAACCGAGTTACTGGCATCTCGGCTGCAGCAGTGGCATTTACTTGCTGCAAACTGCGAAGTGTTAAGTCGTACGGTTTCTACGACATAAGAGAAACCATTTCTTACTTTTTTGAAGTGGAAGGACTGGTGAAGGAGCTTGGTTTGGGCATATCAGTGATGAATCACGTTTGTTCATTGACTCGTCCAAGAGTAGTCTCAAGGTCACACTGCTCCACAATGGAAATGTGTACCCAAATGTGCTTGTTGCATGTCACCAATATGTAGGAGACTTATGAAGGTATGCAACAGATACGCGCTGCTCTGAACTACGATAAGTACTGCTGGAACATCTGTGCAAGGAGGCTTCAAAAAAAATTCTGCTGTTTCTTGTGCTTGATAGTAGAGTAATTCAACAGCACTACATGACCGAAAAGCGGCCAGAGAGGACGGAGTAAGTTGCATACACTGCTTGTGCAACCTGATCATATCTATCTACCATCACGCACATCATGCTTGGTTTGACTAAAAACTTCGTCAAAGCCCTCAAGGAGATGATTTTGCATTCTAATGCCTGAAACGTGTTTCCGAAGATCCGTGATGCAAAGCTCAAAGTAGGGATACTCACTGGGCCTGAATATTCGCCGGATAATGGCAAACAGTACTTTCGAATACCAGTTGACTTCATTTGAGTTAGAAGCGTGGCGATCATTCAAGGCAATGTGTACAGGATTTTGGGGCAAAACAAGGGTAGAGAACTACAAAGACATCACACAAAGCTCATTGCGGATAATTGGGTTGTTGGTGCTCGGATGTTACTCAAGATGCACTTGTTGCATAATCACCTTGACTTTGCCCGGACAACTTGGGATCTGTTAGCGCTGAGCAAGGTGAGCGTTTTCACCAAGACAATTCAGTCATGGAGCAGCGCTACAGTAGCAATTTCACGCCTTCTATGTTGGGTGGCTTTTGTTGGCTTCTGCAGCGTGAGGGCTTTGGATCACACAAGCGAAGACCTCGGTGAAGTCATCATTTCTCAGTGCCAAGCTGCAGTCAGTAGTTAGCGTCGAGTGTTGCAGTGGTTTTTAAACGTATATGCCACATAGATGTATTCTGTATGCGTTGTGATTCAATACATTTACATATAATTCATATGACGTAGCCTTGTCATCACTGAAAATAATCATTTTCTTATAACAATGTAAGCTGACGTGTTAGGTAAAGTTGGAATACATTTTTACGATCAGTGGAGTGTATTCTACCTATGCTATATGTGTTATAGAAACCAATTTTTTGGTCGTACAGTGTTATTATCTTGAACACACGTAAGCCGAGAGTGAGACACACAGCTAATGTGCTGCAATACAAAAGTTAAAAAGTAATATAATACTTATTATCGTATTATGTATCAGGTATGACATCGTTGTTGGACAAGGAACCTAAAGGGGTAGGAAGAGACCAAGGCCCTCAGAGCACAAACGCCACTGAGGTCGGCTCCTAGCCATGTCAACAAGCGTGTCCAGCCAAACGTGCTCATCGTCTTTCAGATACCATCTCGGCAGTCGGGAGACACCAACCGACGAAGATTTCGAAGTGACGCATTTCATAGCTCTTGAATAAGTCATCACTTGGTCTCCACCTTTCTTCTTCCATCCACACCCGGGCGCGCAAACAACGCACGACGCGGGAGTCGGCGTACCGACTCCCGCAACACTCGGCGAAGCCATCGGAGCTTGTGCGTCAAACATGCTCATCTCTCGCGCGGTTTGCCACCAGATATGAGGCAGACTGCGAAGGCACCGGTGGTCGAACGTAACTAGCCTCTTTATGTCTACCGACCTAATGGGCCAGGTTTCACAACCGTACATGGGGGTTGAATGGACGGCTTCAATTTAAGCTTTGCCCTTAAAAGTGAGAGATATCAGGCAGGCGCCACAGATGGAGGAGATTGGCGAAAGCGCCTCGAGTTTTCCCTATACGGTTTGTGACCTCATATTCAATTGTATGGGAGCTAATACAGCTGGCCTGATACTTGAATCTATGGACGACTTCCATATGGTCACCGCTAAGAGTTGGTCCCTGTCAATCTTAGAGAAGCACTTTGCATTGCGAAGGTGCAAAGTGTAGCCCGAAACAACTGATAGCCAGAGCTGTTATCCAGTGCAGCTTGGCAGGTTCGAGAGCTGTTACAGATTAGGGCAATGTCGTCGGCAACATCCAAGTCAAAAATCCAGTCACCTGGGAGAAGATCAACACCTTATACGTCGTGCCGGGCGAAGGCCATTTCCATGCTTATGTCAATTGCAAGTTAAAGAGGAAAGGTGACAGCGGGCAACCTTGTTACACAGCGCTGGAGATAAGTAAAGAGCGGCGAAAGCTTGTCGTAAACATTCACTCTGCCCGAACTATGCGCATACAGCGCTCTTATGACATTTACATATTTCTCCGGCACACCTTTCCTGATTAGACAGTCCCAAAGGGCAAGTCGATCAACCGAATCGAAGGCACCTTTGATATCTGAGTGAGTCGCCAATTAGCATAGCGGTGCTCCAGCGATTGAAAAAAAGGTGAAGATATGATCAATGCAGTCTCGATTTCGACAAAACCCTTAGCGCATGTGGTTTTCACGGGTGCCAGTCAGCCAATGGAGGACGACAGAGGCAAGTAAATTAGAGGCAATGGAGATCAGACTGATTTCGCCAAGACTGCTGAATTCTGAGCGAGAGCCTCCGTTGAAAACTGGGACTATAATGAAGCGGCTCCAGTCTGTTAGGACAGACTAATACTCCCATAGATGCGCCAGTACATTATGCAAATCGTTCAAAAGAGCAGATCCTCCGAATATGAAGAGGGATGGGATGGAGTCCTTCTAATTCGGCGACTTTATTCAGTTTCAACAGCTTGACCTCACGTTCGATTTCTACGCGTAGGGACGGCTCCAAGGGATGGCTCACGGAGAAAAGCGGTCATTGAGCGATGAAGGAGCTGGCAACTCTGACTGATTGAACTGCTTCTCAAAGTGTTCTCCCCAACGCTCCAATCTGTATTCTACTGTCCATTGCCGTCGCGTATGGTATTGTTTACGCCAGGTCTCCTGATGTCCGTTTCCCGTATGACACGGAATTACCTCCGGTGGTTACCAAGGGCAACGGCTGTCCCTATCACCGAAGAACGATGAGACCACCAGGCTTCGCGGTCTCTCTTCAGGCTAACACGCAGTTTCGCCCTGATATCTTTGTGAGTCTCATGATATTCTCTTCCAGCCGGAAAACGTGGGCGAGCACTCAGAAGTTCCAGAGATTGTATGGAGACCCAATGTCCAGGTTGACAACTTAATTTGCCACATGAAGACATGCCTACTGATAATAACGTCTGGCGGATATGCGACCAGTGATCTTCAACTGTGTTCAGTGAGCGCTTATTCAGCTCGGATACCAGCGTACTTTGATACCCGTCCAGAACATCTGACTTCGCCAGTTGGCAAGTATCTACGCGCTTACAACGACGTTGCGGACATCTTCCGAAACGCACCAGCAGGTCGGCGCATATAAGTTTGTGAGCAGAGTCTACGCTCGTGCTCCAAATCGAGTGACAGTTTTGAGCACATCCTCTCCAGCGGCAACTCATTCATTTCATTCATTCAGTATACACGTTAGCTACAGATGAAACACCTTAACCATTGTGCCGCAATACAAAAGACAAGAAAAAAGCATGAAACAGACACGCCGGCTGGGTCCGCAGGAACGAATGGACATCGTCCTGGAAATCTAACAGCCGATTATTGTGCCGCAAAAAAGGAGTTGTACTATACTTAGTAGATGAGGTAGTGATTAGAGGGGGAGGCAAAGCGGGAAGAGGAAGGACAAAGAAACTCACAACACAAACGACACTGGGGTCGACTCCTAACCATGGCAACAAGTGTATCCAACCAAACGTTTTCATTGTCCTTCGGTCACTAACTAGGGAGCTGAGACGCTCCAACCGAAGTCAAATTAGAAGTAAGGGTCTTCATTCCTCTTGACCAAGTTATCGCTTGACTACTGCTTCTCTGCTTTCATCCGTACCCCGGCGCTAAAACAACGCACATCGCAGGAGCCGGTGGGCTGGCATGCGCAACATGTGCCCCAGCGGCAGATAAACGCGATCTGATCGATTTGCTTCCATGGCTAGCCCAAAGCTGACGGGGGCCATGTCAACTTTCTGCGGGGAATGTGTGGAAAGTCAGTGCCTACGAGAATTAGACGAACATCTTCACACAAGTGTAGTAATCGCTCAACGTCATCATTATGGGAGCCTACACGGTGTTGATCGCCCAGCTGAATCTAATCAGTTGTCAGCTTTCAAATTTGGACGTTCAAATCACCAGAAAGCACCGTACTTTTCCTGTAACGAAGGAGCGAGTTCAATTGGTGATAAAGTCTTCTTTCTCCGAGTCAGAGCTACAATAGTGGGCACGTAGGCCGCAATAACACACAGGCATCGTTTAGCCTCAAGCAACTTTGATGTTTTGAACGAGTCAGCCAGTCTGACAGCGTACACCTGGTCGTTCATTGGGATCCAATCGATCAAGCCAGCTTAAGCCCGTGCGCTCAGAGTAACGCCCACACTAGCCTGTCCGACATTTGAATCTGCGTCACCTCCCGACAAGTGCAAGGAGAAAATAACGACAGTGTCGCACGTTGCGGATCGCAGAACTCAGGTGGATTTCTGATAAGCAGCATTTGACGATCAATAAGGTAGCTAGTTTCCGGGCAAGTGCTGCCTGTTGGGTACTCTGCAACAAAGTGTGCACATCGAGGTATGCCAGTCTTAGTGAGGATCGGGGACTTCAAAAAAAACCAGATAAACTGACGTCGGATTAGCTGTACATGGTCTAGTCCACTGGACCGGAGTCTCGCCCAGCGATTGCGTGAGTTGAGACTAGAAGACAAACGCTTAGCAAAGAAAGAGCCAAGAGTTGCGGGTTGAAAACAAGGAGGATAAAAGAAGCTGCAACGGGACGATAAGGGGGAATAAGAAGACGGAAAGTTCTGAGCAGTAGCGTCCAAACTACTATCCACCCTGCTCGATACAGCAGATAGGGTGCCATTGATCACACTCTGCGACGGCCAGAGAATCAAGAAAGTGTTTGAGGAAATATTTATCGTGTTACGTTAGCAGTATACTGTCAGGCTGCCCAAGCCTGGACAGGAGACTGATTAGGGTTCTCAACCAAAGCTTTGATTCAAGAAGCTAACCACAAAGCAGCAGGGTTCTGGCATTGGGATACAGAGAATCTGTTTTATAGAGTAAGGGGTTGTCCTCACTCCAACCCCCAACATGGAGGACCAGGAGGCTGAGTTTGTCTGGCCTCTAACCATTGACCAATGTGGTATGAGTGGTTCTGAAGGTGCAAAAGAACCACCCAGCATAGCTCAATGGATCGCTGAGGCACATAAACCAGCGCACCACTTTAAAGCGCAGTCGCAAGGCGACGGATCCAGTCTCGTCTCGACGACATTTGATACAGAAAGCGTACTGAAAACGCTAGTTAGAAAGGGCCGCATTAAGTTCTAAACAAGTTGCTTATCACAAGAGCATAGGTGACTAAAACAGGATATTTTTTGTAATATATCTTTCGCTAGCAAGTACGAGAAAAATAATGCAGGTCAAAGGAAAGATGGATGGATGAAGCAAATGGCTCTACCAAGGAAATTGTACGACTTACCGAAAGAAAATTTTCGGTCAAATAAAGTTCCTGCAAGTTAGAGCACCTGAAAAACCGGAAAAATGCTTAGTTGGTTCGGGTGGGGTGGTGGAATAAGAAGTTTTGTGATGAGGACATGTGGATCACACTTGAGGTCGCTAGTAAGGAAGGCATCAGAAGATGACTGAAATACCGATATCAACAACTGAAAAACATGGCCAACTAGTATATCACCACACTTCTATCAAGTTCCCATTTTGTAGGTGGCGCTTTAAAGAGGTTGGTGCCGTAAGAATTTACCACCCTAGAGAGTATGACAGTTACCGAGCCAAATGAAGGTCTGAAGCACACCATCCAACACGGGACGTCCCGGACTTCTTTGCTGACTGTAAACCAAAACACTCGGTAATCATATACGCTAACTAAAAATGACGAGGGATCTCAGAACATACTAAAGCTGTCGCGCACATACAAGCGCAATGTGCTCAGTCGCTCGGTATTGTTTCGCACCGAAAGCGAAACGCCCAAGGTCATTGGAATCCGTTTCCACTAAGTAGACATATAACATGTGTGAAACCACAATATATGCCGAGGCATACCCCGAGAAAATAATGAGGCCATTCAAAAGGAGAGTTAAATAACGACTGAGTACCCAGGCAATAAAGAAAGAAAATGGTGTGGATCAAGTTCGACCAAGTTGCATCCTAAGTCCCGTGTACATGTGAGCTCATGACCTAAGGAGTATTCCTGAGATCGTGAGTATATATTGTTGCACCAGGATGACCAACTGGAAAGCAACTGTTGGAAGGTGAACATGGTGGAAACAACAAAAATTGGACGGGAGGAGCTAAGAGTACGACGTGCTGTCAAACAGCGCAATGAGCTCCATCAAGGAAAGCCGTAGCAAGGACAGTCAGAACTAATGCGTGTCCAGAAGAGAGGTAGCAAAGGTAGAAAACAAGTGGAATAAAAAATCCATTGTCATTGTCAGGGGTTTAAAAAGGGTTGACTCACCCGCCAATAGCAGAGGTTAGGGTAATTAACCGGTTTTGGTTCAACTTCACCACAGTCAACTTTTTTAACTCACCTGGAGGAAGCGGAATGGATGGAATGCACAAACCAGTGACAAGGAATGTTCATCACAAAAGCGCAGTGGAACGTGGAAGTGCATATGGTTTCACTACACGTTGAAGGTGAAGTGTGTATGCCAAAGTGTACAATGATAAGCTAAGATGTGTGGTGCTACGAGAATGACATCCCAGAAGACTATAAATGCCAATTACACTAAAAAAAGAGCGAAAACACAAATGAAAACGATATCATGTACGTACTCATACTACATCAAGTAAAGTGACTAGCATGGAACATGAAACAATGGGCTGGATACATTAGGAAAGTATACGAAAGAGCCTAGGACAGATGCTGAATCAGAGTTTGCGCTTCATTGCAGCTAGCAATGTACCACGCATGCTTAAGCCACCAGTAGTCTACGCATAGTTAGTAAGAAACCGCATCGTGGCAAGCGACCCATGTGAGTAAAGTACCATAAATACAGAAAAGTGTGAGACATGGAAACCCACCGAAACTGTTTGGCAAACAACTGAGACTATTTTGGGACAGGTTCAAGTCACAAAGAGATAGAAGGCCAGAGATCTCATCTGGAAGAGTACCAATCATATTCTCAGATAGATCCAACTGCTGCAGCCGTTGCATAAGCCCCAGTTCCTGCAATAAACGATAAAGAGTGCAAAGTGTAGATGAATATCCAGGTAACAGCATGGTTCAAGACAAGTTGCAATACTTCAGTGGCCGTATGACGAGAGAGGCAAACACAAAAAGTGGAGGGAATATCGGAAACCCGTTGAAGCGTGCAACTAACGGGATTCGTAATTTTATAGAATTGGCTTGGCGAATATCTGTAACAGCAAAGAGCAAAAACGTAGAGAAAGTGAACTTACGGCAGGAATAGACTGAATTTCGTTGTCGTCCATCCACAACTCCGTCAAACTGGAAAGCTTGCCAAGCACTGGAGGCTAAAAGCAGGAAAAGGCATAAAATAGAATTTGTCCTGGTGTGGCTATGGCTTCGTGGAAAAGCGTGAGGAGTATGGCCCCCGAATTGAGGGTGATTAGATGGACCATACACTTCTTAAGAGGGGGTCGGTGAAATTAGTAGTCAGTGGAGATGGATACGTTCCCCGGAAAATCGACGCAAAAACAGGGATATTGCCTGTGAAATCATCAGCAGCAGCAGCCGCATCATCATCATCATTATCATCACCAACATCATACACGTTAGCTAACGGTGAGAAGCACCTCAGCTACTGCGCCGCATTACATAAAAGAAAAAAGGGAAAATGATACAGAATCAAGCAACCGAAGCTACCGGTAACTGATGGGCAGCATTCCGGGAAGCTATTGGAAGGCTACTAAGCAGAAAAGAAAATTTACAATGCTAAATTACATTAGGCTAAGTAAGATCGCGTTTGGAGGGGGAGGAAAAGAAGGATGGGGTGGGACAAAGAAACTCACAGCACAAGCGCCAGAGGTCGGCTCCCAGCCATGTCATAGAGTCTATCCAGCCAAACGTGTTCGTCGCACTTCGGTCCCCAACCAGGGAGCCGAGACGCTCCAACCGACGCTAGCTTCGAAGTGAGGGCCTTCATTCCTCTCGACCAAGTCATCGCTTGGCCATCTCTCCTCTTCTTCCATCCACAACCCTGGCGAGCAAACAATGCACGTCGCGGAAGTCGGTGGGCTGGCATGCGCAACACGTGGCCGAGACATCGTACCCTGGTGCGTGAAATGACGGTGCTGAGCAGTTCATTTCCTATTCCTGTGCCGTAAACAAACGCGTCAAACACGCTCGTTGCTCACGCAGTGTTCCTACCAGATGTGAGTCAAACTGCGAAGGCACCAGTGCTCGAACGAAACTAGCCTCATTATATCTGCTAATCTATGGGGCGAGGTTTGACAACCATACAGTAGGGTTGAACGTACGGCTGCATTGTACACTACCCTTCAGGTAGATGTCGCGGCTGCGTCACAGGTGACGAAGGACAGCAAAAGTGCGTCGTACTTTTGCTCCACGGTTTGTAACCTGGTCTACAATTACAGCGCTACTGATACAACTACCTAGGTAGTTGCACTTTTGAATGACTTGTACTGATTCCCACCAAGCCTCAGCGCAGGAGGCGGTCCCCACCAGTCTTGGAGGAACGCTTCGCACTTTAAGGGTGCAAAGCATATCCCGAAACGGGTGACAGCCAGTGCTAATCTGTCAAGTGTAGCTTGGCACATTTCTGAGCTTTCACAGATCAGGGTAGTATCGTCAGCATACTACAAGTCAAGGAGTCGTTCGCCCGGAAGCTGTTTCACACATAAGTGGTGTCCTGTGAACACGGTTTGCATGACTTTGTCAATAGCGAAGTTGAAGACGAAAGGTGACAGCGGACATCCTTTTCTTACACCGCTGGAGATGGAGAAGGGTGACGACAGCTAGCCGTAAGCCTTCACTCTGTCCGAGCTACGCACATAATGCTCGGATATTATTTACCTATTTCTCGTGCACACCTTTACTCAGCAGACAGTCCAAAATGCACCTCTATCCACCGAATCGAATAAACCTTTGATATCGAGGAACATGACAACGGTGGGCCGCCAATATATGTGACGGCGCTCCAACAACTGACCCAAAGTGAAGATGTGGTCAATGCAGTCACGACCTCGACGAAACCCGGCAGGCTCTTCACGAATCTGACCTTCACGAGGGCCAGTCAGTCTGTGAAGGATTACGTAGGCAAATAATTTGGAGGCGATGGGGATCAGACCGATTGCTCTACGGTTGCCGCATTCCGAACGTGAGCCTCCTTTGAAGCTCGGGACAATAACCGAGCGGCTCCAGTCGGTTGGGACAGTTTCTTGCTCCCACAGTTTCACTAGTAACTCGTGTAAATCATCAACAAGAGCAGGTCCCCCGAATTTGAAGAGGGCTGGATGAAGCTCATCTGGTCCCGCGGCTTTATTCAACTTCAGCAGTCCGAGCTCATGTTCGAATTCTGAGCGACAGCGGATCCAAAAGCACAGCCTGGTATGCAGGGCGATCACTGACCGGTGAGGAATCTAACAATTCCGGTCGATTAAATTGCTGTTCAAAATGCTTAGCCCAACGCTCCAAATGTTTGACAAGTTGCGGATAGGCTGTCCACTCTCGTCACGCATAGTTTCACTAACACCAAGTCTGCTGCCGCCCGTTTCCTGTATCAGGCGGAACAACTTCCGATGGTTACAAAGAGCACTGGCCACTTCCACCTCTGACGCACGATCAGACTACCAGGATTCGCAGTCTCTCTTCAGGCTAGCACGGAGTTTTGCCAGCAGTTTACTGCGAATCTCATTGTGTTCGCTTCCAGCCGGAATGTGCCGGCGAGCATCGATGATTTCCAGAGACTGCTAAGATATCTAATGTTTATTTTGGTTAGTACATTTATCACATTATGATTTACCTGCTTCTAATAACGTCTGGTGAACAAGCGAGCAGTGACCTTCAACTGTATTTATTGGGCGCCTGCTCAACCCGAATGCCAGCCTACTTCGGTACGCATTCAAACACCTGGTATGTACCTGGGTTCCCCAGCCGTGTCAAAAGGAAGAACTCGCAACGGCTCTGCACACCAACACTTTATTCTCAACTCTGAGGAAAAGTACAATTAGCCGGGTGTTTGAAAACTCGCTCGTCAGCTCCATTGATCGCTTTATCGACCGCACTGAGGCAGGAGATTCCTTTCACCTCAGCTTTCAGTCACCATCACATCCTTCCTTTCTTCCTTTTTCCTAGTTGGTATGTTGCAGTTTTTATAGCCTCTTCCATTGCAGTCGATCTTTTGGTTTGCTTTGTGCTCAAATTGAAACTGCACCTGATTGTTGCTGATTTCTCTATGGGTAATTTTTTAACTAGCATTAGATAGGCATCCTCATGCGTCTTTCGGACTTTGATACTTAGATTTTTTCCCTTCTTGAAAACCTTCGCCACAACCTTCTCTTTCGTATGTAACACCAAGTTCTTAGAACCTTTGTGACAATTCCGTGTTACACTGAATTGCACTCCGGTGCAGTGTGTCTTGAACAGTGTACTCACGGTGCCTACTGAACCAAGTCGTAACGGTGCTGATCGTTCTTGTGTTGACGGTGTCGCAATAATCCTTTAACGTTCTTCGCGATCCCACCTGTTATTTATTGAAATCTCTTGCTTTTCTTACTGTCTCTCAATAGCAAATAAGCTGACGTTAGCCACTCGGCAGCAGCGAGCAAAAAGGCTTGACCATCCTTCACAAAAATCACCAAACCACCCGATTATTTCTGAAAGATCCAGTTCTGCATCATCATCGCAGAAGTCCCAGGCTTCTAATATCCGTCTCGCATCTTCGCCGATGCAGCACCTGAACATAGCTACTTAATATGATCTCGGGTGTTCATCTAACGCGATCAGCGTTCCACGCCCTCCAGCTATCCCATACTGTGCGGCAATAGAATAAACTTTTGTGCATCACATGCGAGCGGGGTTTGGTACGTCACCATCTGTCACCATGTTACGTGCCTGGGTTCCCCAGCCGCGTCAAAAGCAAGAACTCGCAACGGCTCTGCACACAAACGCTGTATTCTCAACTCTGAGGAAAAGTACAATTAGCCGGGTGTTTGAAAACTCGCTCGTCCGTTCGAACGATCGCCTGATCGACCGCACTGAGGCAAGACATTTCTTTCACCTCAGGTTTCAGTCACTATCACAATACCTGGCCTCGCCAGTTTGTTGGTGTCTATGCGCTCCCAGGGTCGTCGAAGCCGACTGCCGAAATGCACCCGCAGATCGGCACATACAAGTGTATGGTCAGTGTCCACACATGTGCTCCAAATCGAGCGACAATTTTGGACGCAGCCTCTTCAGCTGCAGCTTATCGCGATGTGATCAATTTGCGTCCATCGCTGCTTCGAGGCTTGTGGGCGCCATGTAACCTTCCCATGGGTGCTGTGTCGGAAGTTAGTGCTCGCAAGAAATAAGCAAGCATGTTCAATCAAATGAAGTAATCGCTCACCCCTATCATTATGGGAGCCTACACCATGTTGGCCGCCCAGAAACAGTTCATCAGTGGATAATTTTCAAACGTGAGCGTTCAGATTCCCAGCAAACACGACCGTGTCCGTGCTTCTTCTGTGGCGAAGGAGCTCATTTAGTTGACGATAGAAGTCGTCTTTTATTGAGTCATCGCTACTGTCTGTGGGTGCGTAGGCAGTGATGACAAACAGATGCCTATCAGTCCAGCGCGACTCATAATCTTTGAACGAGCCAGCCAGTCGGACCGCACACACCCGGCTATTGGTTGGGATCCACTTAACCAGAGTAGCTTCAGCCATGGGACTGGGTACAACCAACACCGGTGCTCGAAGCTGCATCGTCACTGGATAGGTACAATGAGAAAGTGTTGCAGTGTTACCTGAAGAGGATCGCAAAATGAGCACCGAACTCGAGTATTGCAGGCAGGTCTCCGATAAGCAGCACATATCGATCAAGAGGGTCTCTAATGTTCAGGCAAGTGCTGCCTGGCGACTAATCTGCAACAATGTGCATACATTGAGACATGTCAGTCTGGAGGAGGATCGACGGCTCCAAATGGAAGCCGATGAACTGGACTTAGCCGCTTGCTTGGATATGGGCTTGTCGACAGGGCAGGAATGGCGCTCCACATTCACATGTGAGTTGAAACTATAAGGTAAAAGCCTATCAAAGCAAGGTGGGGGCCAAGAATAGGGGGGTTGAAAACGGGGGGGGGCAAAAGTGAAGCTGAAACAGGACGCAAAGGATGAAAAAGCGTAGGAGAGGGAAAAAGAAGATGGGAAGACTTGAGCAATAGCGTCTAAACCCTATCCACCCTGCTTGATGCAGCAGACAGGGCACCGTTGATTATCCTCTGCGGTGGCCAGAACATCAGGAAATTGTTTGACGAAAGATTCATAGTATTGCCGTGGGCACGAT